GGTTGTCCACCGGCTGTCTGCCCAGACCTCCCACCCGTTGCTCGCCGACCACTGGTTGCTCGACCATCGCGCAACATCGTCCGCAGCTGCGGCACGTTCTCCTGAAAACCACCACCAACAACACTCAAAACAATCGCGTTTCCACCCCACAAACTGTAACCATCGCGTGATCCAAACGCACGGCCGTCGGCCACGCCGCCGCTGTCACCCGAGGCTCCGCCGCAACTGCGGGGAGGCGGAGGGCCCCGCCACTACCGCTGCGCGGCCCTTCCCGTCGCCTGTCCCCGCGGGCCTCCCCGCCACTGCGCGGCGAGCGCGGCCGCCCTTCCTCTTTGTTTCCCCTGCCCAGCCGCTCAATTTCTGCTCGCGTCGAGACGCGGGTCTCGCCGTTGACCCGCTGCACGCAGTGCGCGTGCGAACGCAATCAATGGGAAGCGCGTTCCGTTTCGAGCTTTGCCGGCGCTGCCGTGCCAGAACAATTCGTAGAGGATGCGCTGTCATGCGCTGCAAGGGCGGGGCGCAAGCTCGCCGCTTGCTTTCCCCGACAGCCCCCCCTCGAATTTCGCGGCCACGGCTTGGGGGGCGTCGGGCGGGGCGAGAACATGTCGCATCTGTTTTGCGGCGGCGCGCTGCCTGGGCAGGTAGGCCTGCGGCGGCTCGCCAAGGCCGCAATTGTAGTCAAAGACAAGGAACGCGCGGTGATGGTTCGCCATCGAGCACTCGCCGCTGCCGTCGCGCAGCGCGCCCAGACCACGTTTGACGGCGCGCTCTCCAGGCCAGCCGATGAACAGAAACGCCATGCTGTCTGCCCCGGGCTGGCCGCCTTCAGTTGCCCTGGGGGCCCGCGCGGCGACGTCTACGGCTCGGCCGCAACTGCGGCGGCAGCTCTCGAGTTGAAACGCGCGCGCGCGTCGGAGTCGCCCAAGACGTAGCGGACAAAGCACTCGTGGGAGCGATGCAGTTTGGTCACGCCCAGGTCGCCGTTGACCAGGTTGCCGCGGACGTGCGTCGCCATGGCGTCGAAGGATTCCCCCGGGCAAGCCAGGCCCCTGTCCTGGACGACGCGCGCCACCGTCGCCCTGGGATGCTCGCAATGGAATTTCGGCCCTCCGACCCCCCCCCGCTTCTTCGCCCGCTTGGATTTGTCCTCCTCGTGGGAGAGCCTCGCTGAGCCAACGAGTTCAATCGCGCCGCCGCTGCGGCGTCGGACGCCAATCTGGAGGGCCCCTGAAGGCTCGCCCCCCTCGACGCAGATGCAATTGCATCGGTCTCGGCCGCGGAACTCCTCGCCCCTGACTGCGCGGCCGCACGCGTCGACCGGCCAGCGCGCATCCCCGCGCAGACTTCGTTGCCGCATTCGCGAAATTCGACAGCTTGCGCAGGGTTCGCCAAGATCTGCGTGAGCCCGTCCGCACGTCTCCGAAGGTGGCGACGTCCGACCCCGCCAACTTCGCAGATGGACAGTTCCTCCTAAGCGTCGACTATGCGTCGCCCCTGCTCCGTCAAAAAGCTTCTTTGGGACGCTGGCGCGCGCTTCCAGGATCGCGCGTTGGACTTCGTTTGCAGTTGCACTTCTGCCGCAACTGCGGCCGCGGCAAGCGCGCCCCCTTGGGCGACCGAGGGCGCTGCGCCGCCCTCGAGGGCGCCGCCCTCAGGGCCGGCCGAAGAGGCCGCGGGGCAGTCGCCATCTTGCGCCCCGTCGGGTTCATCGCCGCGGTCCGCAACCGCGGTGTCATCGTCGTCGCCGCCCGCCCTGTCCACGTGGACGCGCTCCCAATTCGCGAAAACTGGCGCGCCTCTCGGGGGCCCCCATCGCCGCCGGGCGCGCGGAGGTCCGCGCGGCCGCCACTTGCGCTGCCGGGCGCGCGGGGCCTGCATGGCCGCCGCGCCGCTGCCGACGGCCGCCTCGCGCCGCGATTGCCGATGGCCGTCGTGCTGCGGAGAGGGCGGGGGGGGGGGGGGCGGCGCCGAGGAGGAACGACGCGTGGAGCGAATGATGATTGGGTGGAGCGGCGGGGAAACGCCGGCGGAGAGAAGGGACATAATGGTGGGTCGAGGAGGTGCGACGACGATGATTTTCCAGCACCCCCACGGCGCCGAGCGGGCGGGCGGCGCGGCGGGCGACGATCCGCAACTGCGGGTTGTTCGCCTTCCCAAACGCGCGTCGAAGACCGCGCTGCTTCTGCTTGCGCAGCGGAGCGCCCCTCGAGCAGAAAACCACGGATCGCTTGCGCCTCTCCGCCTGGCCCCCGCCGTCGTCGCGCCCCCTGCCGCCGCTCGCGGCCGCCCCGCAATTGCGGGCGCCAAGAAGACCTCGCCGCCGCTGCGGCCTCGTTGGATTTGAGCCAAGCTGGCAGTCCAAGGCTGCCTGCTTCTTCTGATCGACGGTGATCTCAGACCACTCGCGCGCGCAGCCTTTGGCTCTGTGCACCTTCTCTCTCACGTTGTTTTTGGGTTACTCGTACTCCTACACCCTCCATCTCCTACCGCTGACGCTGTCGACGCTGACGCCGATGGCGGTCGCCACCCCGTCAGCAGGCCTGCAGCCGCGGGCCTGCGCCTCGGTGTCGGAGCCCCCGCTCTTTGGGGCAGGTGGTCGGCGAAAAGAGCGAAGCGGTCCCGCGCCCGCGGGCAGGTGAAGTGGGAGTCCAGGATTGGTGGTCGAGTGCTGATGTCGCAGAGACAGGAAAGATTTTAACCGAACTGGCAACCGTGAACCGGCGGCTCGAGCCGCCCAAACCGGAACCCGAACCGGAATGGCTGAAACTGAACTGGCTGATTCAAACCGAACCAGCCGATCGAAACTGGCCTCAACGGTCAACCCGAACCAGTGGAACCGACCCGGCCGGCCAAAGAGGCCTCCAGAACGGCCCAAAAGGGCCCGCAGACGGGCTCCGTGCAGTTCCAGCGGCCGAAGGCTCCAGGAGGACGCCGAGACGGACAAAGAGGGCTCCACGGCCCCGCAGAGGGGTGCGTTGTAGCATCCGCTGGGGCCCTGTTATGATCCCAACGAAACGGCCCAAGAAAGCTCCGCCAGGGCGCCCGCCCCCAGAAAGCTCCAAGAGCCCCCCCCCCACAAAGCTCGGAGGCGGCCCCCCGACGGAAGGCCTCGGCGAGCCGTCTTCGGGCTTCGGGCCTGGGGCCCGGACCTGGGGCCCAGGTCCAGACCTGAGGTCCGGACCTGGGCTTCTGATCGCGGACGCTGTCGTCGTCGCCGCCATCGCTCCTCCTCCTCCTGCTCACGTTTTTTTGGGGGGGGCGGTTCGATCCGCAGCCGCAGCGCGCAACACCTGTAACGTACTGCGCGCCAAGTTTTCGATCACCCGAACGGGGCCGCCCGAAACCGAAACGTCCCGAGGCATGGCCGAACCGGCTCAAACCGAATTGGCACCGAACCCGAACCGCTACAACCGAACCGGCCCGCTGCCGAACCGACCTGAACCGGCCTCATGCTGCAGGGATAAACATATGGTGAAGCCTGTGAGTGTGCGGACGTTGTTGGAAAACGGGCGTTGGAAGTGGGTGGGGTGATGGAGGGTGCCCCCTTCTGGTGAATTTGCTCGTGTCACGAGCCGCTTTGGTTGTGGGGACATCGGTCGCCTCATGGCCAGGAGTTCCGCTCACGATCGTTGCAGCATCTCGGCGCCGGTGCCCAAAAAAATATTGGTCCGAGGCAGGGAGCCTGAGTCGGGGCTGGTCAGCCGCGCCGCTGCTGGCGATGCGGCCACGCTGCTGTTGCTGCTGACGACGCGGCAGTGTCAACACCAGAAAACGGAAACTTCCATGAACCAAGGCATCAGCACGCCGGGAAAAAACGGCCGCGGACCGACACCGTCTCTATCCTCCGCTTTACCTCGCTGGATATTGCAAAACCCTCGTCTGCTAAATCCTCGGTCCGACGGTGATGACAATATTGCAGTGCGCGTTCGTCCTGCCTCCAGTCGACCCGCGCGGCGCCGCCAGACTCGGAGCGAGCACCAGTGGGACGCGACGCTGGTGGCCGTCCCAGACTGCCGCAGTGTCCGCGGGCCCCCGAACGCGCCATCGCACCGTGGGGTGCCTGCGACGGCCGCGGCGGCCACGGCCTCTGGGGGCCTGGTCGTGACGCGCTGGTGGTCAGGTGCATCTTCTCTTTTGGCTTGGCAGCCCCTGCGGGCACAGCGCGTCCCGCCAGGCACGCGGCCCCAGGCAGCCGCCCCTTTTTTGGGTACACCAACCGCTGCGCCAATCTCACGCCCACGCCCAGGCCCGCGTCGCCTCGCGGAGGAAGAGGCGCTCCTCCTCAGGGAACAGCGCGGGGAGGCGGACCAGGGCCACCTCTGAGCTGCCCCCTCGGCGTCTCAGAGGTGGCCCTCAGTCGTCCTGCAGCGCGTCCGCGGCCAACGCGTCGCAGGCGGCATCTGCATCTGGCGGCCAGTGCCTCGGTCTGCGTGGCCGCGACGGGGGCCCGCAGCACGCCGGGTTGCGCGTGGCGGGGTCGGGCGTGGTGGCGTCGTGTGCGGCCACTGCGCGTCCCTCTCTCGCTTGCCCCCCCCCTTGCGCCCGACCTCTTTCCGTCTTTCCGTCTTTCCTTCTCCTCCTCCTCCACTTCCTCCTCCTCCTCCTCCTCCTCCCCGTCATGCTCCTCCTGCGTCTTCCTCTCCCCTTCCCTCCCTCCCATCCCCCCCCCCTCCCTCTCCCCCGTCGCCCTGCTCCTCCCTCCCTCCCTCCCTCCTCGTCTTCGCTCTTCGCCATTCCCTTCTCGCTCCTCGCCCCTCGCCCTCCTCAGCTCCCCTCCTCCTCCTCCCCACCGCCTCCCCATTCCCCCTCTCCTCCCTCCCCCTCCTCCTTCGTCTCCTTCCCTCGCGGATCTCCTCCTCTTTCCCCCTCCTCCTCCTCCTTCTCCTCCTCCTCCTCCTCCTCCTCCTCCTCCTCCTCCTCCTTCCTTTTCCTCCTCCCCCCTCCTCCTTCCCTCACTGATCGGCCCGCCCTCCCCCCTCCTCCCTCGCCCCCTCGCGCGCTCAACCCGAGGGCGCCAGCCCGGCATCGCTGGGGCCGGCGGCCGGCACCAGCATCCTCTTCGTCGCCGGGCCGCAGATGCACACCGCGAACACGGAGAAGATCACCGCCATGACGACCTGAGCGACTACGGTGATGGCATTGGGTAAGGAAACCTTCGACAAGGAACCCAGGGACTGGAAGCCAGTGGAAAGCCAACCGTGGATTGGCCATGCATATCACCGCCGCCCTCATCAGATAAGGAACCCTCCAGGGTCTGGAGCAGCTTGGGCGCATTCCTTAATCAACGCCACCACCGTAGGAGAATTCTTACGCTCGATGCGGCCTAGCGAACTTACGCAGGCCGCCAGCGCGGCTCGCTACATTGCAAGCGATGGAGCTTCCAAACGACCTTGCGCGGGCAGCTTGCGCGCGAATGTCCGCGCAGTCGAACCCATTGTTTTGCGTCGCCCGCCTGTATCGGAAGCTGTACGAAGTCAGAGACGATAAGCTCCACGCCGATGAAGACTAGGATGAAGCAGAGACCGTACTTCAGCAGGTCGAACATGTCCACCAGGTCCTGGACAACGAAGAACATCGCCCTCAGGCCAAACATAGCCATTGCGGAAGAGCTGAAAGCGATGTAAACATCTGGTATCTGAGCCACCTTGGCACTAACGCTGTCAATCGCAAACAAAATATCTGTAGCTTCCAAACAAAATATAACCGGCACCAGCATGGTGGCGTAAGTTATTTGACCCTTGGTAACAAACAGATGCTTGCCCTCAATGTCGTACACGCTCTGCACTCGATCGCCAAAGAAGGCCTGGAATGCTTTCATTGCCAAGCTGTCCGCTGGGTTTGCATCGTCGTCCTCCTGCCGAGCTGCCTGAACGCCGCTGTAAACAAGGACGGCGCCGAAGACAAACCGAATCCAGTGAACCACTTGCAGCAGCTGCGACAGCGCCACGAAAAAGAAGATCCGCAACACGATTGCCCCGGCGATGCCGATGAATAAGGCCTTGTGCAGCAGTTCCCGGGGGGTCTTGTACGTCTGGAAGATCAGATAGAATACGAAGATAGTGGGGAGCAGAAGAGTGCACCAGCACCGCCCCGCCGATTGGGAAGCAGAGGGCGCGGAGCAGAGGGAGCCAGGGCCTGAACGGGGCTGGAGGAGAGCGGAGGGCTGGAAGGGGCGAGGGGCGGGAGGGCAGGGGTTCGGACGACGGCAGGACAACGGCAAACCCGGGCGAAGACGAGCCTGGAGTCTCTGAGAGCTGGCGGGCCTGAAGGATTTACCGGGCGCCGCGGCCGTGTCAGAGCGCTCCCGGGCGCTCCGAGAACGTGCCCGAACGCCCTGGGAAAATGCGCCCTCATCCTGGGCCTGCCTGCCTCGCCGCCGCTCGGACGTCCACTCCCCGTGCACGCTTCAGTTTCGCGCGTACTTTTGTCGCAAGATGGCCCAAAATTCGGGTGTTGCTAGAAGTACCCCTGGCCCAAGGTACCCCCAGGATTCTCGGGGTAGTCCAGACGGTCTCCAGGGCACCCCTCACGAGGCCCGGAGGGCCCCAGGGGCTCAAAAATGGAGCGAAAAGGTGGGGGCACCTTGGGCCAGGGGCACGTCTAGCAACACCTGAAAATTACTCCTCGATGGACCTCGCCGAAAAAATGCGAACATCCGAGCGATGCCAAGGCCTGCAGGTGGAGAGGGGCGGTGGGCCCGAGGACCGCTGGGTTGTGTGCGGGTGCCCGCGCAAGAGAGACCACGAAAGAACTCGCCGCCGCGGCGTTCGGAGGCACGAGGCTGGAAGGTCGCGAAAATGTCTCCGGCTCCCCCTCGCAGATCGGCCGGCATCGAATCGGGGAGCCGGCCGGGTCGGATCGGAATGCACAACGAGTCGGGCCGCATAAGGCCACGGAATCGGAATCGGATCAGCTGCGCCGGGAGGCACAACAGCGCCGTGCAAGCACTGGGCCGCAACGGACCGTCGACATATCGGGATCGAACCGGAGCGGGCTGGCTGGAATCGATACCGAATCGGATCGCTCGGAGCGAAATGGACGCCCCTCGGAGCCCCGAAAGGCTGGCCGGAGAGGGCGCGCTGGCCCCGATGCGCTCCCCTCGGGACCCCCCGAGACGGCGGTGGCGCTCCGCCGAGGCCGTCGCTGGCGCTCCCGTGCGCCCTTCTCGATGCCTGCTCCCCAGATGTTGTCGAAAGACAGCAGCCACTCCAGGAAGTAACCGCAGCACCATTGGACGCCGGCCTCCGTGCCCTTCTTCCAGAAGATCACGCCGTTGAACGCCATCCCGCAAAGGATCCTGAGGCGCCGCACCCGGGAAAGAAAATGCTAGCGACCTGATTGCCCAGACCTCCGTATTGTTCGGCGTTTCTCCTAGATGTCGCCCTCTGGAGCCCGTTGGAAGCCGTTGTGGTCTAGACTCGGGCCAATTCACTAGCCACTAGCCTGCAAAGCAAGCCCCAGGCGGACATCGGGACTTCGCGCAAATCGGGACCCTCCTGCACGACTCTTCGGCGTAACGCCGGAAAAAGAAAAAGCTGCTCTGGGGCAAGGTGACGGGACCTCTGGGCCGCGCGTCGGTAGACACCGCATCGTCGGACGTCTGGGCGCGAATGCCGCCCACCCTCGAGCGTCGAGCCCCGCGAGGTGCGAGGGCGCGGCCCTCCTCCGCGGCCCGCGCGCCGCGCAGCGGAGAAGGGCCGCTCAGCTCTCCGACCCCGGCGCCGCGAGCCCGCGGGGCGCGGCAGTCTGCGCCCCCCCCGCGGGTGCACCGCGCTTGCGCTCCGCCATCCACCGCCAAAGACCAGGCAAAGACCACCGCCACCGAGCCGCCGCCCCACGCCCGAGAGAAGCAACGACCACCGCCACCGAGAGCCCGGCGGGGGGTCCCCCTCCTGGGCGGTGGCACGCCTGAGCGACGTCCCGTGCCCGGTCATGCGCGGGCGTGCCGCACCCAGGGGTCGACCTCCCTCCAACCCGCCCCCGATGAGGTCTTACCGATGAGGTCTTAGCGGCGGTGGTCTCTGTTTCTCCTCTGTGCTCTCTCCGCTGCCCTGGGAGTGGGAGGGGAGAGTAGTGGTGGCGTGGTGGTCGCTCTCATGAGGGGGACGAGTGAGAAGGGGGTGGACAAGCTCTGTCTGGGAGGGGAACTGCTGACATGGAAGCGGCGATGCATCACCGACAGATCGGCGATGGGCCCTCGATGGCGAGACCGTGCGATCCTGGGCAGGCGGCGGCACCCAGGCTCGGACTGGCGATGAATGGGCGACGGGGGGTCGAGGCTTCCCCCCTCCACCCTGGACCTGCTCCCCCCCCCCCCTGGCGCGGCCCCCGAATTTGGGGCCCCCGATGTCCAGCAGAGGAGCACGAGCAAGTCTGCCTTCGTCTTGCTTCCGGCCGAGGCGCCACTCTCCGAACTCTCTGGCTCGGGCTCGGGGGCAGGGTCGGCGCTGCGGGACGAAGCCTCAGCCGCGTCGCGGTCGATCTGTGCCCCCAGTGGCGCAGACGACTGGACACTCCTGAACGCGAAGAAATCCAGGGCCATGCACGCAAAGATGGAGACGGCCAGCAGTGCCCAGTCGGAAGGCGATGCGGACCACGCTTCAACAGCGCCAGCGCCATCGGCCTCTTGGCATGACGGAAATGGGCCCTAAGAGAAATTGGCTCTTGACCCGGCGCTTTGGACATCTCGAATATCGGGCTTTAGCCGTCTCTGGGCCCAGGAGATCGTTTGCATTTTTCGGCGAGCGGTAACCCAGGTGATCCAGTGCGCGGGGAGAAGGGGAGAGGCGCTGGCCGATAACCAAACTTTTTCGCCTTGGGCAGCCCCACGTGCGCCCGCGAGCACCCACACTGCGCACCCCCCTCCGAACCTGCGCACCCGCCACGGTCAAGCCATCGGGGGGGAGGGAGGTCGGCGGGTGGGCCCGATAACCCGGTTTATCGCCAGGCCTGAACAAAAAGCAGTCTCCAGGAGGAGGAGGAGGAGGAGGAGGAGCAGGAGGAGGAGGAGGGGGAGGACCCCGGGATCGCTCAGGACCCGCTGCCCTCCGGGACCCGCTTGGCTTCGTGGCAGGGGCCTTGCTCCCGCCGAAGAGGTCCCGGAGCCAAGCGGTGGGCGAGGGCGACCTGCCGAGCTCCAGCAGCGACCTGCAGGGGGACAACGCACGCCGCTGCTCCGCGGACCTCTCTCGAAGCGTGTCCTGACCAGGGCTCCGCGGCGAGAGCAACCGCGGCGGCGAGAGCTCTCCACGACAGGGCAGTCCGGTGTGCGACCCCAGATGCCCCGCCCCCTGCCCCAAAGGTGACGCTTCGTGCCCGATTCACTTTGATGGCATCGAGGCCCAATAATGGGCCCTGGACGCCGAAAACGACAAAGAGCCATGGGAGTGGACAAAAACAACGTCCGAGACTTGGGCTTGCTTCATGTTGAAAGCGTTCAGGGCCGCGACAGGGGACTTCTTGGTAAACTGGAACCGTGGCGCGCCCGAGAAAACTGCATCCGTGCGTCGAGACGCTCTCCTCCCTCCCCTCTCCCCAGCCAGACCTCTCAAGACCAAACCGTCGGAGGTCCGGGCAGCCATCCCTTCCCTAATTACCCCCACCCGACGTGTTTGGCCTGGCTTCCGCGCGGGCGGGCGCCCGCCCGCGGAAACTGCGGCCGTGGGTCGAGACATCCTCCGTCTCCCGCTCTCCCCCCGGGTCTGGGCCGGCGCACTCCTCGGGGACGCCGCCGACCCGGGTCCGCGCAAGCCCGGGTCGGCCGAGGTAGCCAGGCCAGGCGAGCGAGTGGCTCCCAGCCCCTGGCCCGCGCGGACGGCAGGCAGGCACAGGGGGGAGGTGGCCCCGCGCGGCTCCCAAGCTCCCGGCCCGCCAGAGGAGAGTGGCTGACCCCCTGGGCGCTGGCTCCCGTCACGTGAGCCCCGCAGCGGGGAGTCCGAAAGGCACCGATACCGCTGCTGCTCCAAGACCTCTCCCGGGGTGCGCTCTGACAAAGGTTTCGAGGCGGATCCATGCCGCAGCGACGACGGGGGGGCAGCGGGGTCGGTACCTTTTCCTCCTCTGACCCCGAATCCCTTCCCCGCCCGACGACCGGGGCGCCCAGGCGGGCGCGCGCAGCCACTCGCGCACCTAGATGAACAACAAACTGCAGAAATTCGCGCGGGGCTCCTCGAGTATCCCGTTTCGAAATCGCCCAACTTTGCACATCGCGCCACACGATGCACGACGCTTGATCATCCTCGCGACACCGCGCCAGTTCCTAGGAGAAGGGCGGCTCTCTCCGGCCAAGGCCGCGACGCGCGAAGCGCGATATCTTTGCGTTCATGGGGCCAGCTGCGGTCAGGAACTTCTGCTTCACGTGTCGTGGCGGCGGCCCCCGTGACACGGTATGCCATGCGAGCGGATAGCGTGCCGCTCCGCTCCGCGGGGCGGGATGCTCGGAGAAGCTCGGGACGTTGACGCCTGGGGAAAAGGATGTGGATAGCGTGTCGCGCGGAAGCGTGGTGGGCCAGAACCGGCGGCGCCCCTGGGAGACCTAGGTTGAAGGGCCACGATCGACAGGGCAGCTCAGGGGGGAAAACATCGATCTGGATTCGCCGATTCATCGCCGCCCCCGAATGCAAATTCTCACGGTGCTGGGTGGGGTGGGCTGTTCGGCCCCTATTGGCGATGAGTGGGCCATTGCGGATCGATGCGTCCCCCCTCAGCAGATTCCCCCCTGACGTAACCTCAGGAAGCAAGTAGGGACCCCCCCGGTGTTATCATTAGCGCCGCCCCGTAATTAAACAATTATTCGGTGGGGTTGCGCCGAGCGATATAATTAGCACCGCGCACTTGAAAAGAAAAGCTCCGCCACCCCCCCCGCGTGCCAGGAAAAGGGGACCTCAAAGACCTGACACCTTTTTCTTCTGCGCGGTCCACCCGGCGGAACGGCGAGCTCAGACGGCGAGCGAGGAGCCGCCACACTGACGAGACTGAAAGGATGACACGAGACCAACGGTTTCGCACGGCCCTGGCTTTGAGTATGAGAAGGGGGAAGCGAGGGAGGGAGGAGGGAGAGCTTGAACCAGAAACCGAATTACGGCACACTCGTCAGCTGGCTATTGCTTCTACTTTGAAAAGAGGACAGCTCCGCCATCCCCCCCGCGTGCCAGGAAAAGGGGACCTCAAAGACCTGCCACCTTTTTCTTCTGCGTGGTCCACCCGGCGGAACGGCGAGCTCAGACGGCGAGCGAGGAGCCGCCACACTGACGAGACTGAAAGGATGACACGAGACCGACGGATTCGCACGGCCCGAGCCCGAAAGGTGGGACTGGCCCCTAGGCCGAACTAGCAGTAACAGGATTCAAACACACTCTATACTGTAGCCTGCAGGGGAAAATCGGCAGGCTTTGACCCCCAATGCCCAGGAATGCTTATTGAGGCTATGGTTGTTTTCAGCCACAAGGCGGAGGGTACGCGCAAGCGTTCTGGAGAGCACTTTGGGATACGAGGCGGCAATGGCTGTCCTTTTACGTCCGGAGGCAGGGTCCACGCCTTCGAGTATCAGGTGAGGCTTGCCGGTGACCGAGCACAGGCCCTTCTGTCCAATGCACCGTTGATGAATACACGAGTGGAATCCAGCTCCCCACATCGCAATTCTGGCCCTCTTTCGCCAGGGAGCCCCAAAGCGACACATATCCAGTAGGTGAACATGGCACTCAGGATGATCGAGGAGAGGGCCCAGTAAGGGGGCATGCCACATGACGGAGGACGCGGGGTTCTCGAGGTACACTGGGATCCCAAGACGGACGCAGGTCTTGATGACGTTTACGGAGAGCTCGAAAGTGTCGTTTCCCACTTGAAGCCTAGCGAGCTCCGACTCGGTGAGGTCTGCAAGGCCCATCGGGGCCTGGATGGACCTGAGAGGCTTTCGCAGAGCCCGAGACCACGTAGTGCACGCAGTACCCAACCAGACGGCCAAGATTACCCTACCCTGAAACCACCCACGAATAGCACTCCAGAAAGCCGGACTGAGATGGTCCTCCAGGGGCCCGTTGTTGACGTCAAGAGACACACAAGCGTACCCTGCAGCCCTGAGGGCCCTACCGATCTGGCCTGAACCTGCGAACAGCTCCAGGAAGGCGAAACGGCGGAGGCGGACCGCTAGGCGCAGCTCGGAGGCCAGGGCGCCCTTGAGGTGGTAGATCACCTCCTGGCGCCGTGGGACACCTCCGTGCACGCAGGCGGCGGCACGGGCAGCCCGTGCGTCAGCGCCGCCACAGCGAGGGGGGGCGTGTCCGCAGGCGGGCCGCTGCCGCTGCGCAGATCCACGAAGCTCAGGTCCAGGATGAGGTCGTCCGGCTTCAGCGCCGCCTGCGAGCAGGCCAGCGCGGGGCACAGCCACGCGTCCATGTCGATGACCACCCCACCGTCGTGTACTCCAGTCTTCCCCGCCCGCAGGAGGGTGGAGTCGTGCCGAAGGATGGACCAGTACTGGTACTCGGGCCCCGCCATCACCGCGGGGGCAATGAGGTGACGAGCTCGCACTTGCAACATCTCCTGCGGCTTCAGGTAGCACACGAGGGCGAAGGCGGGTAGTAGGGCAGCCCGCAGGAGGCCGCGGTGGACTGGGTAGCCGACGATCGCGCCCATGGTCGCCCTCGGCAGGGGCCACCGCGTGAGCGGTGCGGTTCGGCGCCTCCGGCCCAGCATCGCCCGAGAAGCTCGAGGGGGCAGAGTGGCCCCTGGGCGCCCCTGCCCCGGCAGGAAGGGCGCCTGAGCCGCCAGCGTGCCGCTGCCGACGTCGGTTCCCAGCCCCTTCCAGGACAGGTCGTTGAAGGAAACGCCCAGGAGGCCGTCGAGGGTGGGCCCGTCGTGCCGGTGCAGCGCCGGCCCTAGGCGGTAGCCATGGAGCCCCTTCAGCATCGACCTGTAGAGGGTGTCCGTGGTGGGACGGATGGCAGGCCGCTCCAGAGAGGAGAGCAACCCAAGCGGGGGCCGCCCCCGCGCCGCTGCCGAAGCCGCCGAGACGCTGAGGGCCTTCAGGAAGGTAGACCTGCTCCCCGATCTGCCCGCCGCCGGCAGCCGCCCAAATGCCGGGCGGGCGCGGGGCATCTGCCGCGGCTGGCACGGGTAGCGAGCTGGGCCGAGGGAGCCCAGGCGGGGCCCCCAAACGGGGGGCCCTGTGAGCCGATATGGAAGACGAAGGATAGCGTCTGATAGCTCGGGACCCAGTAAACCAGCCAAGCCCCCCCCTCGAAGGGGCATCACTCACGTTTCTCTCAGTGGGCACCCATCTGACAATAAACCGACACCCAGTGACCAGGGGCAGACAGGCGAGCTTCGCCAGGCAGGGCTTGAGGAACTTCGATCTGGCACGACCCTTGGCGGCCCCCAGGGCCAACGGAAGATTATCGACGATGAACGACAGACGACGACCAAGGGCGCCGTTGCTGCGACAGGCGCGGCGCATGGCGAGGATGAGGGCCCCCCCCTTCCAGGGCTAAGATGCCGGTGCCGACGGATACCTGGCAGGCCGCGATGCGGGCCCAACTGTCGGGGTCCATGAGCTCCTCAGGGACCTCGTCGAAACGCCGGGCCGCTTCCTCCAGGTAAACGGGGCCGCTGGAACAGGCAGCGCTGCCACCACTGGGGGGTCGGAGACCGGGGGGGGGCAGACGAGACGGCGAGGGCAGCCTCCCGAGGGCGACAATGCTCTTCGACTTTGTATCTCCATCGCTCGCACAATCTCCCAACTGCGCCAGCGTCGCGAGGACAGACACGCCGGACAGAGGCCCCAAGGCCAAATGGGGAAGCATCAGAGGCGTGCACCTGGTCGTGCCACTCGGCCCCCCACTCAACTGTAAAGAGCGGGAGGACACATCGTAATCTCCAAAGCTCTTTGCGAACGCCAGGCCAGAGGTCGACAGCGTCACCCTTGTTTTTCTCGATATAGGCATAGACGTCATCTAGAAAACTGAGGGCCTCCCCCCGAAGTAACGCAGCCCAAGTAGTATGTCCGACCACCACCTGCAGAAGAGATCCGCTGGCGCGCCCGCGCCTGAGGATCTCTTCCAAAGCCAGCCGTAGTCTCCAGAGACCTCGTCGGCGGATAGAGAGCCTCTGGCCCGAATTAAGCTCCAACCCCAGGAAGGGCGCGTCCTTCGAGGCGGGCTCCAGCTCGTGGACGACGAGGCCCTTGGCTTCGAGGGTGGAGCGAATTTGGGACACGGTCGAGTCCACAGCGTCGGGGCTCTGGCCGAGGACAACGAAGTTGTCGACGTAGCCTGCGACTCGCACACTCGTGAAATCGTCGATCGGGGAGGCCGGGTTGCCGCCCGCGACAAGGTTCGACCCATCGATGCCGGCGTCGCCCAGGGCATTCATCAGCGTGGACTGGGCGATGTGCATAGCCCAACTCCACCCCATGGGGAGGATTGTGAGCACGGGTTCGAGTGCGGTCCCTGGACCCATCCTGTGGCCTTCAACCTCTGTAAGCCCAGCAACACCGGCATCGATAAGGGGGGGGGGGCAAAAAAATCCTGAAGCTCTGCCGGCAGGCCCATGCGGTAAAAGCAGTTGCCAATGTCACCTGGTCGTGCAAAAACGTCGGACCCCAGGGGCTCAACAGACCCCAGGGCCGTTGCGGTGGGAAGACGGGCGGCAGGAGGGGCCTTAAAAAAAAAACAATTGGCAACGCGGGCATCGAAAATAAGCCTGAGCTTTCCCGACTTTTTCGCAACGAAGAAAACACCAACCTTGCTGGGGCGGCCAGTGGCGAGCTTCAAAGTGGCCATCCCCCGGTCGACAAGCTTACGAACGAACGCAGCGTACCGAGCAGGAGACGAGCTGAGAAGCGGATCCACATAAGGCCCCAACGGACAAGCTCCCCGAATCAAACTTCGAGCCTCCTCAGAGGGCCTTAGCAAGTTCTCGCGGGCACGACCGATCCATTCACAATCGCCAGCGCTGAGGAGATCGCCCAGTTGAGCCGGGCAAGTCCCCTCATCTGGCCAGGAAACAAGCTCCTGGGAAAACGGTCGCCTAGTGGTCCCTGCAGAGTCGTACAGACCACTAGCGGCGCAGAGCTCACTCAGGGCTCCCGCGCCAGAAAGGAGGTCAGCTGGCCGGGGGCCGGCCTCTCGAAA